CGACGTGAAAATTGTCCAACGAGGCAAAGCCGAGTTGGACAACACGTCGAGTGACTAAAAGATTTCGTTTCGTAACGTATTGTATACAAGATTTTTTCTACTGACGTTTCATAATAAAAAAACACAATTTTATTTCAATGTTTGTCGCCTGCTTTTGCTTGACACCTTTCATGTTGGTGACTAATATTCATAATAAATACAAAACAAAATTCAAATTTGCATTTAGTGTGTTTTTTATTTCTGAACAATGAATAACACTTTTAGGCACTAGTGCTTAAAAGTTACTTTTACGCACTTGAAAGTCGCTTTTACGCATTTAAAAGTCACTTTTACGCACTGGAAAGTCACTTTTACGCACTGAGTGCCTAAAAGTCACTTTTACGCACTGAGTGCTCAAAAGAATGTCATTTCAAAACTAAAATGACAATCGAAAAGTTGCTATTATGAAACGTCAGTAGAAAAAATCGATTTTCCGCACTGATATGCGTGCGGAAAATGAGTTTTCCCGCACGGTGCGGTAAAACTTTTACCGCACGCATATCAGTGCGGAATAGTTATTTACCTAACAAATGCGGAAAGTGATACTTTACGGTAAAGGCACTTTCCGCATGTGTTAGGTACAAAATTTTACCTATGAGCATCTACACCTCCAAAAAAAGCATTGATAAAATAAATTAATGAATCAGATTAATTAATGGAATAAGATTAAATTTAGAAAGGATCAAAAATCCATTTTCTGAAAAAGAAAGGAATTTTGATTATAAATATCAAATTCTACTTTACCGCACACTATGCGGTAAAGTGGACTACAAAGTGTTCGGTAAAGTGCACTTTACCGCATACTATGCTGTAAAGTTAACTTTACCGCACACTATGCTGTAAAGTTAACTTTACCGCATAGTGTGCGGTAAAGTGATACTTTCCATTTTCAAAAACGTGCGGTAAAGTGCACTTTACCGCACGCTCGTAGGTAAATTTTTTTACCGCACCGATATGTCAAAAAAAAAAAGAAAAATTTTGCATTTTTACGCCTGTAGGAAAAATATTGTACCTAACACTTGCGGAAAATATATTTCCGCACTCGGCTGCTTCACCGAACTCCGCTACGCGTCGGCAGCCGCGTGCGGAAAAATTCATTTTCCGCACTCGTTAGGTAAATAGCTATTTCCTTAAAAATCACGTCATCAACTACTGTCAAATCATTTTTGTATTGAGAATATTTTTTAACACAATCAGGTTACACCTTGTTATTTCAAGGCCACCCACCCATTTGATATAGTATTTTTAAGCATTTGTAATTCCAGATCACTGTTTGTTTTTTCTTGAAGCTCGGACCATTGAATTTTAGTTATATTAATTTCTGAAACAATCATGCATACATGATCCGATATATCCTAATCATGGAAAGTATTTGTTGAATACTATACTGTGTGTCAAAAAAAACGCATCACCCCATAGAAGTATAAATATTTGTTAACTCAATTCTGTAGATATGCTTGGGCTATCAAAAGTGAAATTTAATTTAATAATGGCCGTTTCCACCAACGCAAATTTAAGTTTACTTAACGTTAAGTGCCGCTTATATTATAATTTTGTTTCCACCAGTCTCACCTAGTCTCATCAAGATAAGCTTAACTAAACATAGAAATTTCTAGGCTTATTCCTCCCTTAACAAAGTGGGGATGATAAGCGCAAGCAATTTGCATCATACCTATATGTTTTGTTGACATAACCAAACGTTAAAATTGAATTGAGATAAATAATGATCTCAATTTTCTAATGTCTGGTGTAGATACTCCGTCTGTTTTCATTTTTATTTTCGATTATGTTCTCATTTTTTGATGTTAGTGATAATAGCAGCACTTTTTCCTTTACTGTATAGTTGGGTGTCCGGCTTTTTTGAATAAACTGTCCCTGTTTGTTTCTCTTCCCCGACTCTACGCTGCTCTAGACACCTTCGTGTTCGTGCACACGCAATGCAGAATGCAGGATAAACTACGAATATCTAAACCTCTCCTCTATGAAATAAACCGAACCTGGACAAGAGCAACAACTATTATTAATATTATTATTTTCATCTAATAAAAATTAGCGGGAAACGTCGAATGACAGATAACATTGACACGACTTGTATGTAAAAACGAAAAAGTACGCAAATCTTTCAATTAAAATTCAATGTTGCCAAAGCTTCACGCCACTTAGCTAAGCTTGCACTCAAAAACTATGGTGGAACGAAATTATATTTGAGCGTCCATTAACTTTTAAGGGCTTCATAGTTAATCAAAGCTTAGTTATAGTTTGGTGGAAATGGCCATAAAACATATACAAAGAAAGTAACATTTAATCAATAATTGTTATTTTTAACGCCATTAACATATATCCTGTTCACAATCCGATGTCCACAAGTGCTGGTAGATTTATCACCTGTCCCTATCAAATAGCATTGAAAGGTGATAAACTTTACCGGTACCAGTGGACATAGGATTGTGTACGGATAATATGTAGAAAATTTGTTAAAAAATATAAACTTTTAATGAGTGACGCGTTTTAATTTTTGTCACATAGTATTTAAAAGCTCTAGAAAAGCATCAGCTGAATTCAAGTCCTTTCCACGCTTACACCTAACATCAAAGTCGTATTTTTGAATTTGCAGTAATATGCGTTGTAGTCGGGTTGGACATTTGTTTAAAGGTTTTTCAAAGATATTAATTAGGGGCAAATGATCCGTTTCAATAACAACTTTTTTGCCAAAAACAAATTGGTGAAATTTGTCCAGACCAGCCCAAAATTGCGTCTGTATTGGAATTTACAATAAAGAAATTTAACTTATAAAATATATCATTTTTCTTACACGAGATGGTAAGAACACCCAAGAACTTTTAATTTATTCCCTGTATATGAGTGAAGAGCTAAATTTGACTGAGTTATATCACTCATTTCATCACCTATACAGGGTGTATATTTTAAGTGATACCACCATTGCTATATCCGAAACGGTAAGAGCTACAAGTTCGGTTAAATTAGAAAAAAATCGCCTTTTTTGATGCTCATTCAAGACTTGTTTACAGTTATGCCAAATTCCTTTTAGTTAACGAAATACAGGGTGATTTCTAAAAAACGCCCAAAATTATTTCATCAATTATTTCGAAAACTATTGATATTCAAGACACAATTTAAATTTGAAAGTTTTATAATTTTTTTCGCTCTATAGTATGGCATCTTCAAATTTTAAATCCGACGTTTCGTGATCGAGCTACCATCATCAACTTCATTTTTTTAAATACGGACCCCGATTTTTTATGTCATTTTTACAAAGGTATTGAAGGAAGCTTTTTAAAACTGATATAACAAAATCAGGTCCATATTTAAAAAAATGAAGTTGATGATGGTAGCTCGATCACGAAACGTCGGATTTGAAATTTGAAGATACCATGTTGTGGAGCGAAAAAACTTATAAAACTTTCAAATTTAAATTGTGTTTCAAAAATCAATAGTTTTCGAAATAATTGATGAATTATTTTTGGGCGTTTCTTAGAACTCACCCTGTATTTCATAAACTAAAAGGAATTTGGCAACACTGTAAATGAGTTTTAACTGGGCATCAAAAAAGGCAATTTTTTTCTAATTTAACCGACCTTGTAGGTCTTACCGTTTCGGATATAGCAATATTGGTATCACTTAAAATATACAACCTGTATAGTGTAGTAATTGTGCACACTGTGTTTTTTCATCTTTTTTGTAAACTTCTGAGGCCACCAAGTAATTCTCAAACCTGGCCCTCCATAATTTCCAATTTTCAGCCGGATTGCCCCTTAAACACAAGGGAGAAATTCCTCGACTATCGCCCATTTTCAACTTGAGGTTATCAGCTTTGTATTTGAAATTGTCGGCACCACTGAATTTTATTGAAATTATTAGTCATGCCGGTTGAATGTCGAACATTCTAAAGACTGCGCCATGTAATAATGTAATTTATTGTAATTATTTTGTAATTAGCATAGGTTTAGGAATTTAATGAAATGATCCTCCTTGAGGTTAAGTTCAACACTGTTCCTTTATTTAATCTTTATGGAGTATGCCGTAGGTACCTTTCACCATAATGACATGTGGGTTGCCTAACCTTAGGTATATCTCTACAACGGTGAGTCTCTTGCTAATCGTATGGGCAGATGAACTTTGTAGACGGACGGCATGTTTTCTTCAGTGGCTTTATAAGTATGGATGGTGTGGACAGACGTGAGTCTTCTGGACTGGCTATGCGAATTGTCAAATTTGAAATCTGATGTTCTGTCTTTGCGCCACATCACCATACAACTCAATTTTTTTTTAATTTTAATTTTTATTATGAATAGTTATTGAAAAGATGTGATTTGATAAATTATTATCCCTTTTCACTGGGAATCATCACTGCAATGTGTTGGATAAAGATTAATTTAGGGCGCTAGTTATATGTAAAACAGAGACAGATCTATGCACACATTTTAAAGCAAACATTTCTCAGAAGTGATGATTTTTTCAATGGTTCTCACTCGTCGTTGCTTAGACGGAATCAAAGGCTTACACAAAATGGATCAACTTTTTGCTAATATTCCCGTATCTCTTACCGTTTCCTAGAGTCTAATGCTATCTCATCCTTATCTCGGACATACTCAGAGCCAAACACCCAAATACTAGAGCTGCGTTCATGAAAAGCACGTCGTAAACATGTTATTTTTGGATCTTTTGTATTGTTGTTAGTTGAACCATTTTGCATAATTATACAAACATCTCGTACAGAGTTTGAAACTTTTAAAGAAAGGTCTGCCATAAAATACAGTCATAACTAAATAATTCAAAAAGACGAACAAAGTAAATTCTTGTTATAATTTGTTAAAGATATTAAAATATAGGTAGATGGTATAATCATATATCGCAGTTATGAATATACTTTTTATAAGTTTCAACTCATATGAATATTTTCTTTGTACATAATATGTTTTATTAGAACTTTATGGTCCTAGGTGGGGTCGTAGGAAGATTCTTATAATAACCAATGTTATCTACGGAATAATTGGGAATGTGATTATATTTTCTCCAAATATATGGACTTTTCTAATATTGAGAGTTATTCTTGGAATGGTCATTGCTGGAGGCTTTTATGGCTCCTATGTGATACGTGAGTATGTTTTTATATTTATTTTTATGACCCAATGTTTTCAATATTATAGGAGGGTTGTTGGATGAGGTAAAAATAAATACACGTCGACATAGGTACTTATTTTGAGCCCATCCAACAACTCTCCTACAATATTGAAAACACTGCGTCACAAAATAGCAGCAGAGAAATACTAATTCGAAAAAATAGAGTTTTTATTCGCTAAGCAGCCATTTTGTATGAATAATAAATGTCTAGGAAATCACATAATTAAAAAATAGAACAATAAAAATTATTTGTGGATAGTAAATGTAATGGTGCAACTCGATTTTTTTTTTCAATTTATCACTGTGATTTTCAAAATGTCAATTTTTAAATAATTAAATTCTTTGAAAAAATTGAAATAAAGTATGTAGTTCATATTTTGTGTTTTCTGTACTCAATAAAACTATTTCAAATTTTTTTTTCTCAGTTTAATTTTTTTGGCACTTGGACCATTTTGAATTCCCAGTCTTCAACTATCAAGTGAATAATAATTTTTTAATTATCAGAATATACAAGCAACTAGGTACTTTATACTTTAACTGAAGTTATCGATAAGATATTTCTCCATACACCTTTTGTACATTTGTGAAATTATCTTTCGCTTGTTCCAGTGATTGAATCAACAGAGCCATCAAAAAGACTAATGATAGGAACATGCTTGAACTTGTATTATGGACTTGGAACAATCCTCTCTAGCCTACTAGCATATCTTAGTCCAACATGGAAAGTTTTGCAAGTCCTATTCACCGCTTTCGGTGCACCATGTATCCTTTATATTTGGCAAGTACCAAGTTCCTACTGTAATCGATGTTAATTAAGCAAATAATTTGAATACAGACTAAATTTTGTAATTTTAAATATTGTTTTATCATCGTAATATGTGGAATTTCATTTATTGTTTTAAAAAAATAGGCACTTTACAATGTAGGTAGGTAGATAGTCAAGTTGTTCCTCTCTGAGACAAATCAAAATTGTTATTTTGCGCACTTAATTGAATAGGTAATTTTTAAAACCTAGGGTGCTCCCAGAATCAGCTAGATGGCTTATTTCAAAAAACAGAATAACTGAAGCTAGAAAAATTATCAAGATCATTGCCAAAGAAAATAAAAGAACTATTTTGGAGGAACATTTGGAATATTGCCTTACCGAAGCAAGAGATGCCGCAAGAGGAAAGATTAATGCATCTGTATATGATGCAATGCGATACCCTACATTAAGGACAAGGATATTTATTTTAATGTTCTTAAAGTAAGCATATGTTTTGAAAAAATTGAAAATACTGTTGCTGTGGTAATTTCAATTTTAAAAATAAATCATAACTGAGGACATAATATTTCGTAAATAATTTTTTGTTATAACAGAAAGTACACCAAGAAAAATGTAATTTTTTTAAATTTCTTACCCATGACTTTAACATGTTTTTAGCTTCGTCTGTTATATTGTTGTATTTGGAATTACTTGGCATATTCCCAAGTTCAGTGGAAATGTGTATACTAATTTAGCTCTAATGGGACTTTCTGATTTGCCCACTTTTGTCATGGTTCTTTTTACTGCTCAACGAGCTGGACGCAGACCTGTCATATTTACATATATGATTATCTCTAGCTTGTGTTTGGTAATCACATTTGTAAAACCGTCAGGTAATTATTAGCGAGTAAACTTAATTTATGAAGCATATTTTATTATTATAAATTACTATCAATTTCAGCTGCAGCTTGGGTGCTAACATGGTCTTTAATAAGTAAACTGTTATCAGGATCAACCATGTGTTTAATTTATGTATTGTCTAGTGAACTTTACCCCACAGTTTTTCGAAATGCAGGGTTAGGACTTGGTGCTATAGCTGGAAGCTTAGGTGGAATATTTGCGTCATACATATTTTATTTGGTAAGACAAGGGTATATGCTTATTTCAGATGAGAAACAACTCGAGTTTATTTTTTAACAATAAGGTTCATCGTAAAGGGAATTTTTTGACAACTTCAAATTTTGAGATATAGTTTTTTTTTTCACGACCGTGCCTTAGGCTTCTAAGGCTTTGCGAAATTGAATTAAAGTTATGATCAAGTCACTGGTAAATAAGAGATGAAGTTTACCTATGACAAAGTGTTCACTCCCCAGAGTTCCCAAGAAGAGATGTTCGAGGATCTTGCACAATTGGTACAGTCTGCTCTTGACGGATACAATGTGTGCGTCTTGGCCTATGGCCAGACTGGTTCAGGTAAAACTTATACTATGCAAGGCGGTGTCGGTATCCAATAAGGAATGATTCCCAGGACTTTTCAACTAATTTTTTAAAACATTGCTGAGCTCCGAACATGTGGATGGTCCTATACAGTCAAAGCAAGCTTTTTGGAGATTTACAATGAAAATATAACAGATTTGCTCACCACAAATCAGGGACAAAAGCACGACATTTGTTTCAATGAAATTATTCTGTTGTTCTTGGGTTTCAATGAAGGTGACGAGACAACAGTGACGAATTTTTCAATACAGACAATTAATTCGGCAGCCGAAAAAGAATGGTATATGGTCCTGGCGCAGAGGAACAGGGCAACAGCAGCTACTGATTTCAATGAGCATAGTAGTCGGTCACAGGCTGTAACAAAAATTTATTTATAATAAAACTTGGAAGATCTAGGTAGTGTACAAAGCCAGTTTCAGAAAACGCTAAGCAATCATCAGTAGCAGGCGAAAGACTAACAGAAACCAAAACTTCGCGCGCATCGCGTAGCAACTTACGTTAACGAAATTTAGTCAAGAAATTAGTAATATTTCTATTATTTTCAAATCGAATAAAATAAAAACATAATTAGGAATAAATTCTGTACATATAATAAAGTAACAACAGTGAATAAATCATAGTTTAAATCACGGATTTCAGAAATAAATAAAGATTTAAAATATAACCTGCAAAAATGGCGATCAGCTGTGCCAAGTGCAAAAAAAACTTTGTGATAAAGGAATCAAAAACCGATGTATTCGGATATCCCTGCGATTGTTGCAGAAGAGTTTATTGTAAAAACTGCGCTAATATTAGTGCTACAGAAATAAGGGCACTAATAATGTCCTCAAGAGTAGTACTCTTCTTCTGCGAAGACTGCAAAAACTCCATTAAGCAGGTACCAACACAAAAGGATGATATACAGGAAATCAAGAAGGACATTGGGGAGTTGAAGGATGTCATAAAACCTGGAGGCTCTACCTATGCAGATGTGGCTAAAACCTTTGAAAAAGAGAAACAGTCACTAAAAGAAGAATTCAAAGAGCTGGAAAATAGGTTAAAGGAAAACGCTAGGAAGCGAATACCAGATTTGCCCTCATTAGATGCTATCGAGGGGGACATTAGAAACCTGGAAAGCAGTCATTACCAAGGCAACTGCGAGAAACTCCAATTTTGGACCAGCATTGTACGAGCTGCAGGAAAGAGACGCAAGAGCACAAAACGTCCTCGTCTAGATAGAATGGAAAAAGATAAAAACGGTGTATATAACGTTCTAAAACATCAACATGAATAACCTCAAGATTAGTGATTCCCACGAGACCAACGAGACGAGACTTTCATAAAGTCTTGTCTCGTCTCGCCGATAAATAAAAAGTCTTGTCTCGAGTCTCGTCTCGCAGCCTTAAGTCTCGTCTCGTCTCGCGTCTCGTACGAGAGTCTCGCAAATGTCTCGGAGTCTCGTCATGCATAATCTTGTACCAGTTAAGAGTCTATAGTTGAACCAAATCCAAGCGGCAGTAATGGCATAACTGGTCATTTTCATTACAACCTATCAAATGTTCTCCGTGCATGCGCGCTGGTCCAGATAGGGCGTCTCAACCAATAGAAAGTCTGGATTACCAACACAATTTAGGTTATTTAATGAGGAAGTTGCATTAAATTTTATTTTGATGGAAAATGTATTTAAAGTGGAGCAAAATACTCAAGAAGTATATTTCTATATTTAAATCTTCTTTAAACTGAACCCCTAATAACTAATTAATTATTCAAGTATTCAATAACAATGGGCGCGAAAATCATGGAACGATAAACAAAGAAAAGTGTGGTTATGTTAACGTGAAACGTAAGCCGTCAGACGCTTGTGTTTACATCGAATTCTACCGATGGATCCACCATTGTTTGTCGGTCATTATCATTTTCCATTTACTAAACAAAGATAGCTAACTCATTGGTGAAGCCATCAATTAAAATAAAAACGAGTGGAAACTTGACAACAAAATAAACCACACATGTAAATCGCACAAACAATGACATAAAACACAATTGACAATGGATAAGACAGGGAGGGAGTACAAAGACTCGTTTTGACGCTTGGAAGGATATGGTCTTGTGACGTAGGTAATTGATTTACGACTGCGTTTTGGCGCGAAGATAATTATTTTGAATTTCTATATTTTTTTACAGAAAAACTATTAGTTGAAAATCTAAAATTTATGTGGCAAGTCACTTTTTATAATGTGAAGAATTTAATAAGAGAATAAGAAAAATAACAGAAAATTATAAATCATAGGCCTGGGAAGCTTTATTTGAAATTGATGCAACTTTGCGTAAACGCAATAACGTCATTCGGGATTGAAAATTGGTGCACGGCTTATTTGACATGCACTTTTTCATTCGCATCTGACGTCATTTGCGTCATTTTTGCGTGTGCGCCAAGTTGCATCAGTTTCAAATAAACCCCCCCAGGATGGCGGTAATTTTAACGCACCTAATTATAAAATATTGCGTCATGTGAAAACATAAAATAAAAAATATTTTGTAAAAATATAAAATATTCGCCCACCCTTATATACGCCACTGCCAACAGAGTTCTGATGGGAGGGGTAGGCAATGTACTGGGGTAGGCGATTTCGCGAAAGTCCGGCTACTGCATATATTTACATTATTCGCGAAAGGCCTCGAAGTAGGCGACATCTATGATCAACTTTTGTACTCAAAACACAGTGAACAACAAAGCAAGTTTGCATTTGGCCCCCGGCATTGTTGCTGGAAGTTTTCAATTTTCTACAGAATATTATTCATTTTATGTATTGTTTCTGTTATATAAATCACAAGAACACCATAAAACACAATTTAAGAAAAACTAACCTCGAAAACGAGACGAGACCATGCGAGACTCTCGAAAACAAGACTCTCGTGGGAATCACTACTCAAGATAAGAATAGGAAAATACGGAGTGCAGAAAGTGAGACCAGTTAAAGTGTTATTTCCAAATAAAGAAAAAGCACTGAATGTACTTCAAAAAAGCAAACTACTTGAAATAAGAAGAGTCTATATCAAGGGAGACTAAACAGAAGCACAGAGAAAATATAGAAAGAATTGAGTCAAGAATTAGAAGAAAGGACAAACAAAGGAGAACAACACCTGAAAATAAAGTATGTTCATGGAGTGCCCAGGATCGTCACCTTCAGGACTCAACTGTTGTCAAAGAACTAAGTAACATAGCTGCTGAATCTGTGGTCGAAGTCACCTATTGGTATTCAAACCTGTGTCCTTTTAAGAATAAGATTGACGAGTGGAGAACAAGTATTCAGAAAACCAACCCCACTTTCATTGGTATCACAGAAACTTGGCCTAATGCAGAAAAATGAGACGGCCTTATAGCTCTGCCAGGATATCGGACCTTTCGTAAAGATAGAAAGGATAAAGAAGGTGGAGGTTCACTTATATACAGGGTGTCCCAGGATATGTGGGCAATCTTTCGGTTTCAGATAGAATACAAAAAAATAACATGACAACTTCCCATAAAAAAAAATTCCTACGGCCCCCCCTACGAAGTTACGTGCCCCTAAAGGACGTCTCTGAAAATCGGTTTTTTGTTGATAACTTTCGAAATACTTCGTGTATTTTTTTTCTCTTTTAATATGATGGATACTAGATAAGACCCCTCAAAATGGATCCTTTTAAAAACACTTAGCCAATCTAGTTTGCCAGGCACGGACTAGCTTTAATACAATAATGCTAATTTTTTTCACACCCTGTATGATATAGGCATAGCAATAATATTTTTAGATAGTTTCAACCTTGAACTAGAAAAAAGGTACTCTTATTCAATGTCGAAAAAATGAGCTGGTTTCGAGAAAAATCTGTTTTTGTGTATTAATGGTTTTTTATTAAATAATTTTTTATGTCGACTCAACATGAGATCCTTCTAATCTTATGCAATCCATGCCTATTTTAATGAAAGATTGTTCTACTCTCGACAATGCTTCAATATTAGCCCTTATTTCGCGACAGTGAAAATTAATCCTTTCTACTAATATTTCCTTAGTGTCATTATTGCGTTAAAGCTAGTCCGTCCCTGGCAAACTAGATTAGTCAAGTGTGTTTGAGAGGGGTCCATTTTAAGGAGTCTTATCTAGTATCCATAATATTGAAAGAAAAAAAATTACCCAAAGTATTTTGAAAGTTCATCAACAAAAAACCGCTTTTCAGAGACGTCCTTTAGGGGCACGTAACTTCATAGGGGGGCCGTAGGAATTTTTTTTTATAGGAAGTTGTCATGTTATTTCCTGTTCTATCTGAATCCGAGAGATTGCCCACATATTCTGAGACACCCTGTATATCAAGGAAATAGAAAATAATATTCAAATCCATTCATCAAATGAGAATAAATATGATGGCTGCATATACAAAACTGGTCAACACAATTGAAGCTGCTTTTTCCCAACAAAATAAAACAATTATTTCTGGTGACTTCAACTATCGAGAAATACACTGGAATACCCTCCAAACAGTCAATCATGATATTTCAGCTGATGACGAGTTTTTAGATGGTTTCAAAGAAACAAATACTTACCAATTAGTGAACTTTCACACTAGAATAAGAGGAGACCAACAATCGCTATTAGACCTGACATTCGTAAGTGGAAAAAACTTAACATTTAACATCAAAAGTAACTCTCCGATTGGACGCAGTGATCATGAAGTTATCACTGGCACATACCAAATAAAGGCTAAAGGGAAGGTGACTTTTAAAAGACAAACAAGAAACTTCTGGAAGACAGACTACGACGCGATCAACAATCACCTGCATAATCAAAACTTTGACAACATAAACACCAACTTGACCAAATATGAACGCTGTGAAAACATTATCAAAACAACCATTGATAAATTTATACCACTGAAATCCACAAGGAAAAACTCCCAGAAGCCATCGATAAACGAGGCCATATTCAAGGAAATAGACACAAAACGTAGATTCTGGGATAGGTTTAGACAAAACATTACAGATGAGACCTATCAGTTATACAGATTGCAGAGTAACAAATTAATAATACAATAGCTGAAGCAAAAATATTCTATGAACATAGAATAATACAATCAAAGTCAAACAAACAATTCTGCAAGTTTGTGTCCAAAAGTCTAAACTCAAAAATGGCAACAATCAATCACATTAAAGGATGACGACACTAACAACATTATTGCCAGTAATGAGGATACATCAGAAATGTTTGCCAAACAATTTTTGAACATGTTTACACAAGAGAATGACCAGATTCCGGTTTTGCCTGATAGCACTAGAAACGTTACTTTGGGCTGGGTTCCGTTGCCAACCTTGGTTACGGTTACACGTTCCGTAATGTCTGGTACCCTGAAAAACCGGTCTATACGGAACGCGGTTGGTTATGTCAAACATGCCACCACGGCAACGGGCGGCGATTCTGCGATTGGAAAAGCGTTCCGTATGAAACCGAAATTTTCAGCAACCACTTGTCAATCGGTGTCAACCGCTGTCAACCGACGTTGTACCGATCGGTTAACCAGGTTAGGCAACGGAACCCATAGAGAAATATAATAGTAGTAAACTACGAGAGAACTCATTCCCCTGTACTTAACTGGCACAATGTCGACGTTAGCGCCCCTGGTGGCTACGGACAGCAATAAAACAGTGAACATTGTTTGAATGCACGTTTCTTCTTTACCGACAGTGAAAAGGCGGCTTTTTTGAATAATTAAATTATTGACTTTGATTTTATTTAAGATTTATTAAAAATAAAGTACTGTAAACGCTTAAAACAGTTAATTGCAAAGCAATACATTTGTTGAAAAAACTTGCTAAAATTTACCGAACAACTGTTTAGAACGATAACAGAACTTATTTTTAAATAATCCAAATTAGATGCAATGAGATTCCTTAAGGGGGTGAACAAGGTAATTGAACAATACAAAAATTGAGATATCTTCAAACAAACTTATTTTTTTATTCCAATTTTATAAATATACAGTAACTAAAAATCTTTGTATTATAACCTTTGTGTTTACCTTTTTACTGCACCTCGCAGCATCGCAAATTCGAAAACACACTATTATTGGTGTCGGTTTTGTCTAATTAATTAATATTTATGATCACAGAATGTTTTCTCATTTCTCTAATATAAATAATAGAAGAAATTTTACGTTATGATTGTGAGCATTCAGTTTTTGATTGATGGTCTTTGGCATAGAGAAATATAATAAACCAAGGTAAGAGTTACCGATTCATATGCGTCAAGTGGCAACGTATTTCTTGTAGCCCATGGTGGCGCTAGTATAGCTTGGAACTATCTGACAATTCTGACATCGCCTTCCATTCTTATATCTGTCTCTTTTTAAAAGAAATCATAATAAAGGAAGGGAGGAGTGAGAGGACATAAGGTTTTTTTTCTCCAAACGTCAAAAAAACGTCACTTTGTTAACCCCTGTCAAGATGTCAGAAATTTAATTTCTATGCTGGTAGGCAAATCCAGCAGGTTAACACCTGTCGAGGTGGTAGAAATTTAATTTCTATGCTGCTTGGCAAACCCAGCGGCAGCAAAAGTACTTTTAGTGCCGCTCGTACTTTTACTGCCGCTCAACCATTCAGTTACCCCCGAGCTTACCCCATTCGTTTGGAGAAAAAATAGTGTGTTGCATACGGAGTAGAAGCACTTTTTTGTGCTTCAGCAGTATTACAAGCCTCACACAAAAAAGTAAAGCTTCTACTCCTAATACAACAATATACTATTATTTATTACATTGCGATTTCTAAGCTATAAATTGACATTTTCATTTTTCAAAGCTGACAGGACAGAAATAAGTGAACCTAAAATTGATTAGTTTATTAAAAATACATGATTCTGGTAAGATTTAGAAAGTGAAAATCGTTAAGTTCATGCATAAAGAATGATAATTAAATACTAACCTACCATTACTTACTGTTTTTGCTTTTTTTTGTTGTAATTTTTTTGCAATTTATTAGTTACAAAGTTATATTTATGTATAATTTAATTTATAATTCTTTTGTTAGTTGTCAAAGATCAAAATATATAAATTACTTCATGAACATGTTTTGATTATTTATTTTTGTTTCCCGGCCAGCGTTTTTCCGCATTTTTTTTCTGTCGACTGCGGAGAAACGCTGGGCTAGATTTCTACCTCCAAAAATAACAAAACTATATTTTAAAAACTCAAAAAGCCCGCCAAATATTATTTCAGTTTGTCGTCATCGCGATGCCAGTGTCGCCCCACAGAATCGGTAACTCTCACCTTGGTTTATTATATTTCTCTAATATGGTCTTTGGATTCAATCATTTGTCAAATTTTGTATTTTGTATGTGTTAAAAAAAAGATAGAACATTTTCGGGCAAGTTGCTGACAAAGACAAATTAAACCGAGTTGTCAGAAACGATCGAAGTAATTAGTTCAATAATCTGCCACACCATGCGAAATACGCTACGGGTATGTGCACAAACACACTTCCAGATTGTTACATTAAACAAACGTCTCTCGTAGTTTACTACTATTATATTTCTCTATGACGGAACCCACCCTTTGTGAACACCATTGACTTCACACCATTAGAGGTGGAAAACGCTATTTTAAGCCTAAAAACTGAATCAAGTCCTGGTCCAGTTTAGCAACACCACTAAGTCATGTTATGAATGAATCTATGACCTCGGGGACTTTGCCATCCAGCTGGAACAAGGCTATTATAACACCAATATACAAAAAGGGTGACATATTTAAACCAGAAAACTACAGGCCAGTTAGCTTACCAAACCCTGTTTGTAAGGTTATGGAAAAAATCATAGGGGAGGAACTGGATGAATTCTCAAAGTTAAATGAGGTTATACCTGATTCGCAGGACGGCTTCCAGAAGACGAAATCGACAACAACCAACATGCTAAGATGTTTAAGAAAGCCTTCGACAACGTGCCATTCAAAAGGCTTCGTTACAAGTTGAGCCATTTTGGAGTAACACCTGGATAGGAGAATTTATACAAGGCCGGTTTTCATGAACTATCTCAGCAACAACAGCAACTAGCCTGAAGTTTTCGCTATTCCAAACCAAGACGCGTATACAGGTGCAAAAATCCTCGTCAACAATAAGGTTTTTACTAGGTTTGGGATCCCATTGAAACTGCATTCCGATCAAGGGCGTAACTTCGAGTCACAAATATTCCAGAAACTTTTTGAGATGCTAGACATTCACAAGACTACAACTACAGCTTTGCATTGACAATCAGATGGTATGGTTGAGAGGTTCAACGAGACGATCGAGGCAGATTACTAATGAGGTGCTTTTTTGGTAAAGCCGCGAAATTCGTGATATTATTTTCAATAAAAAAAAGTTTATTCCCTTCTACATCATCCATCATAATTATAAGAACTCTGCTTCGTTTCATATGAACAAATCTGTAGTACCTACATAGTGAAACATTAGCTACAATTTTTTTTTTTTTTAGGAATTCTTTTGGAAACCTTTGCCAAATATTATATTGTCAGGATTGCTGCTTATTGCCTGCGGTCTAATCCTTCTGCTTCCCGAAACATTTAATAAGAAACTACCAGAAACTTTAGAAGAAGGAAATCGCTTTGGAAAATAGAATGTAAAAATTGAAATAATAAATAGGTGTCTATATTTATTATTTCAATTTGGTAATACGTATTTTGGGTTTGCAGTTTTTTGCTAATTTGTTTTATTAAATAATTTTTTGGTGCAAGCTAGGTACTTTCATTTTATTAGATTTAAACTTTCAAACAAAATGGAGGATTTTTGCTGAAAGATTCTGAGTCTGGATATGTTGGAGACAATGGAGTAGTGAGCAGGTTTGGAATGGCTCCTTGCTCATCTACTCAATACGTATATATGCGGTCAAGATTAGAGTGAGAGAATAGGAGAGATCCGTGAGATTTTCTGCCCTGACTAGCGAGAGATTCGAGAGAGCCAATAATTTTTTTCTCCAAACGTCAGAAAAACTTCACTTTGTTAACCCCTGTCAAGATGTCAGAAATTTGATTTCTATGCTGCTAGGCAAATCCGGCGGGTTAACACCTGTCGAGGTGGTAGAAATTTAATTTCTATGCTGCTTGGCAACCCCAGCGGCAGCAAAAGTACTTTTAGTGCCGCTGGAGCGGCTGTAGAAGTACTTTTAGTGCCGCTCGTACTTTTACTGCAGCTCAACCATTTACTTGCCCCCGAGGTTACCCCATTCGTTCGGAGAAAAAATAGCGTGTTGCATACGGAGTAGAAGCACTTTTTTCTGCTTCAGCAGTATTGCAAGACTCACTACGTTCGGCTCGCAAACCTACCGCTTCAGCACAAAAAAGTAAAGCTTCTACTCCTAATACAACAATATACTATTTTGCCCTTACTAGCACTCATTCTGGAATCATTTGAGTTACGCAAAGGCCATTTTAAACCTTCTTACTACTTCATTGGTTGGAGTGCGACTCCAACGGGTCATCCCAGGTGCTTGTTTTTCGTTCTCTCTGTTTTGACTCTTACGAGTTCTAGTCAGGTCGCTCCCTACTTGCTGACTGTGCTCCTACGTCCCTTTATTCCACCTTGGTATTTTCGAAACGGTGCGGCGTGAATGGGTGGCGTGAATACGAAGATACATTCTGCACTCTTCTCTGAGCAGCCATAATGTTTGATTGGAAAATATTTTTTTACTTACAAATTTATTGATCAAGTATCATCCTGATTCCGAATCACCAAGATCTCAGGGTAAAAAAAATCCTCCATTTTCTCTATCCAGAGTGAAACAAATTTTATTGCTTCTAGAATGGGTTGACAATTCAGATCGTTATTATGTGAGTTTTGGAAAGCTTGAGAGATACTTTATTGTATATTTCTCCAAGAGCATCACTCATGCAGGCATTATTGTGTAATTCTTCAATCAGCTTATTGGCCTTTTTCGCATATCAAGGATCAGCATTAATCAATTCACAGGTTTGAAACTCACTCAACGTTTTACCTATACATCTCCTTCATGTACGCCCTATACATCTAACAACCTTAGAGATATCCTTGTCTGAGCATATGACAAAAAATTCGGGATAAAGATTTAGAAATAATTGAAATATATGAAATATTAAATAGTATAAATAATTTTAGTTTACGAGGGCAACACATAAAGTACAAACAGGTAATATGTATAGCTCTTCAATAACATAGTTATCTCGAAAATACCTACCTACACAGGAACTCAAAATACTGCCACACATTGAAATTCCTAGAAAAGGCGCTCTCTGATAAGTGGATTCTCAGAATCTGGCCGAGCTCTCGATGCAATTTGCTAACGGTAACACTGTGTTCCTCTCTAATGGGATCGTTCCGATCTAAGTCTGTCACCTTCTCCCCTATGCCTATACCTCCAATCAGATCCATTATGATTCCATCTAGGCATTTGCTTAACATCTCTATTATGCCTGTCTAATGCCCGTATTACATCTGTGTATTTTTCCGTGTATTTATTCATGTAGTTCAGGGTGCCAACATTATTTTGTTGTTCATAATGCTGATTTATGTTGCGTTTGAAGTGTTTCGGTTGTCACCCTGAACTACATGAATAAATACACGGAAAAATACACAGATGTAATACGGGCATAAGTGGACTTTGACTTGAACGCAGCGGCTATCCTGACTTTACAGGTCAACCCGCACGTCTGCGTGGCTCTTCTCTTCTTAGGTTGAGCCAAAGTTGACCCATGTTCTGCGATCTCTATTCACCAGAAATAAACCACATGTTACTTCATCCTTCTCTAACATCAAGAGAAAAAATACCGGCACATGAAGGACACGTCCGATGCAGATGACATATTGACTTCAAAATATGACAAAGCATTCATCATTTGATCATAATCAATAATTCATTCTAGGTTTATCTTTTTCATTCGCTAGTCTCGCATTTCGTCTTTTTTTGTGTTACTGTTGATATTTATTGATTTCAGGGTTGTTTTGTGTGTTTTATGTCACGAGGACTTCCAAACTTCATAGATTGGAAGACATATCAATTTCCACTATTGTTAAGATAAACGACAGGAACAATTCCAGAATAAATACATTTGAAATACCCGACAGTAATGCGAGCAGGGCGCCATCTATAAATAAAATGCCTCGAAGTTTTATGTAAAGTAAGTGTCTGTAGCGTCAATGCAAAACAAGTGGATGCTGATTAATCCTTAAACAGTAGATGGTAGTGGCTTCGCAAAATTTTATGGACAAAAACATTAGCACGGGAGAGTCCATTCTCTATAGTATTTATGGGACCTCACGGGAACTAGAAAAAAGAACTTGTGGTATTCCTCTCCGTGGGAATCTGTAGAGCGGCTGTTTGAACGATAATTTTGACCTTCTACTTGTTGGTTCTTTTTCTTTCTTCGCCTGCCGGATTTTTATTCTCTTCATTGTGTGGGTGATCTATCTCTCTTCTTCTTCTTATTCTCCTTCTTCTCTTGTGTTTAATACTGCGTTAGTGCGACAGCACTCTTACGCAATTTTGGGTGAGTCTACTCACTGCCATGTGTTGTGTTTTAAGTTCATTTTTGTTCAGGGAAAAAAAGGAGAGTGGGGAAAGGATAGGAAAAAGGAAAAGGGATTTCATTCACTAGAAGAGAAGTGTGAGCTTTTAAATTTCTGAAAATAGTCCTGTCAGGGTTATTAGTATTATTATCGTCAAATACTTGATCTGCGCTTGCTTTCGAAGCAGAGCAAGTTCACAATAGTTCTCTCTACAAATACTCTTAAAATGTCGTCTTCTCCCGCAGCGGTAAGATTCAATGCCCCCTTTCAAGTTTCCCAGTTTGTTTCTGGTAACAGCCTTACAGGAACTTCTACATCGAGTCTTCAATTATACCCATTTTTTTTTTCTTCTCGTATTGATACAGTGTGCAAAACCACATAATGGAAGATAAATAACTTGATAATTAGTGGACTGTATAATTAGGTGGACTGGATGATCGACTGGATAGGGAACTAAAACACACGCGCTTTTCACTGACACTATATTTACAACAATTTACACAATATTTACACTATTTACAATTACTACTACAAGATGACAAGAAGCCAGAGCTTGCTTAGATGCCCAACAGGGCAGAGCTAGATTATAAAATTTATTAAAATGTGAAAAGGTTTCTGGATGCTTGTTAACGTGGACAAGCTCCAAGCTACACTGCTGCAATGACAAAAATGGCGCGCAATATATTGACAGACATGACAAAATAGACATGACGACAACGCTGCAGTGTTGCAAACTTTATATGTATAAAAATATTTTGCCATCAAAAAGAGATAGCATGATTGTTGGAACATGTTTCCAACATGCTGGGGGGCCTAGAGTTTCACATGAAACCAAGGTAAAATTTTCCAGCAAAAAAAAATAAAAAAATTAAAGAGAAAGTAAGCAACCCTTTTTTTAAAAAAAGGTATGATTTCAATGATGATCCAGTAAACGAAAACTTAACTAACAATTAAAGCTAAAAACATTTCTGGAACACATAGTATGACATTATGTATGTATATACGAGTATAGCTAATTGAATATAAATATAAATCTAAATGTTTTACAAATATATGTACAGAATTTTGTGAATAATTTTCAAAAATATTATTAACAATTATTGTCATCAATCGGTAACACTGCAATCTTGGTAACCGATCTGAGATAAATACCTTTTTTGGTTTTCACTTCGACAACCCTTACTTTGCCGTCCTTTCCAGGTATTGCTTTAACTATTCTTGCCATTGGCCACTTATAAGAAGGTACATTATCCTCTTTTAAAATGACTAACAAGCCCTCCCTAAGGTTAGGCATCTCATCACGCCATTTTGGCCTATTTTGGAGTTGCGTTAGATAGTCGTGATACCACTTTTTCCAAAAATGCTGCTGCATCTGGACACACAATTTCCAAAACTTAAGTCGACCTTGGGGAATTTCCGTCAAATCAGGGTCAGGAAAGCTTGTGATAGGCGCACCTATCAAAAAATGACCAGGGGTCAAATAGTCCAAATCTGAAGGATCTTGTGACAAGGCTACAAGTGGTCGGGAATTTAAAATTCCTTCTACTTGAACAATAAGAGTATTAAATTGTTCATAGGTAAGCTCATTGCTACCTATGACTCGCTTGATGTGAAATTTTGCCGATTTTACTCCAGCTTCCCATAAACCACCAAAAACTGGAGAATAGCTCGGTATAAAATTAAATGTAATTTTTTCCTGAAGGGAATAATTTTCAATTTTTTCTGTTTCGTTATAAAACTCTTTGATTTTATTCTCGGCTCCTTTAAACGTGGAACCATTGTCGCAGAAAATATTTGCGGGCTTCCCCCTCCGCGAAATAAAACGCTTCAGAGCAGCTAGAAAATTTTCGGTTGTCAGGTCTGAAAGCAGTTCCATATGAATTGCTTTGACTGAAAAGCACACAAAAAGTGCTATGTATGCCTTGGAACTTACGGATTTTCTAATTCGAGATTGCTTAACGAGGAAGGGACCGCAAAAATCTACCCCGACATTTTGAAACACTCTGGCTGAACAGACTCTTTTTTCCGGCAAGGAACCCATTAATTGAGTGGAACATTTTGCTTTGAATTTAAAGCAAATCACACATTTGTGTAGCTCTTTTTTAATTAATCTTATTCCATTTATGAGCCAATAATTGAGGTTTAGGGAACCTAAAACTTGTCTTGGTCCAGCGTGCAACAAAGTTGAATGTTCTT